CCCCAAAACCCCAAAACCCCAAAACCCCAAAACCCCAAAACCCCAAAACCCCAACAGGCCAAATTTATATAGAATTTTAATATTTGGAGTGTTATGGGACGCCCACTCAAGAAAGGCGAAAGAGGTGAAGCTACACAGTACCTCACCAGGTCAATGGCCATCAGAAGGTTACAACTATCCCTTCAGGAGTTCAGGTAAGTACCTTCGAAAGATTTTAAGCTAAGTTTACTCTAGACAGCTCTGTATTCTGAAAGGAATTTACCCAAGAGAGCCAAGAAAGAAGTTCAAGGGAACTAATAAAACTTACTACCATATTAAGGACATTAAGTTCCTTGAGCAGGACAAGATTATGAAGACGATGAGAGATATTAAGATTTATGAGAGAAAGCACAAGAGGTTAATTAGCAGAGGGGATAAGGACCAAGCTGAAATGTTGGAAGCAAGAAAGCCAAGAATGCATTTCCAACATATTATTAAAGAGAGATACCCCTCTTTTGTCGATTGTTTGAAGGATTTGGATGATGCCCTCTGCTTAATCTTCTTGTACGCCAAATTCCCAACCCATGAGTTCCTCGGAAATGGTAATATTTGGAGTGTTTATATGTATAGAACGTAAAACTATAACTGCTTGTCAAAAGCTAGCTTATGAATGGATGCTGTACTGATCTGTAGCCAAGATGTTCAAGAAATCTTTCCTTTCGATCAAGGGAATCTACTACCAGGCAGAGATAATGGGTGCGAATATTACCTGGGTAATTCCTTACCAATTTACGCAAAAGATGCCATTTGACATTGATTACAATGTTATGAACACTTTCTTAGAGTTTTATGAGCAACTTTTGAGCTTTACTCTCTACAAGCTCTACACCGATGTTGGACTGGCTTATCCTCCCAAGAGAATGGACTTAAAATCAACTGACGGCAGTAAAGTCAACCTGAAGACAGTCAAGGAAATGCAAGCTGTCGCCCTTGAGAAACTTTATGGAAAGGAAGCACAGGACAAGAAAGATATCTCTGAAGAATTTATGAACACTCCTGAATACACCCAGATGATCCAAAGAGAAGAAGCTCAGGAAAAGATTAGAAATCTGTTCAAGAACAATGTGTTCTTCCTCAACAGAGAGGTTCCAAGATACTCTTTGGAGTTCTTGATCCCAGCCTTTGGAGGAGACTACGGATATGAAGGTGAAGAGAGCTTATACACTATCGACTCTAAAGAGATCACTCATCATGTGATGGACAGAAAAATTAACGAGTCCAAGATGCAATTTGATGTCAAAAGAGATTATGTAGTCCCTCAGTGGATCTATGACACCATTAACAATCAGATAGCTTTGCCTGTGAGCCAATACAAGCCTGGGGCACCTCCCCCAGCTCATTTGTCTCCATTCGTAGATAACAAGATGGAAGGGTACCTTCCAAAAAGGCAGGAAGAGATCAATGATCTCAAGGGCATAACTGAAGAAGTCTACGAACCCGAGATCGATGATGAAGGCGAAGGTGAAGAAGACAAGGTTGAAGAAGACCAACAAATGAACGATGAACAAGGCAACAAATTCGATGATGAGTCCTCAGAGGAAGATGAAGACGAAGAAGAAGCTAAAAGAGAGCTCGAGAAGAAGCAAAGAATGAAGTCCAAGCTCAAGAAATCTCTTGAAAAAGAGAGAACAGAGCTTGGAAAGCTCCTCATGACCAAGAAGCAGAGAAGGCTCTATAGAAGAATCAACTATAGTTTGAAGAGAAAGAAGGAATTTGTTGATAAACTCAAGGAAAAGAGGAGAAATCTTGAGCAAGGAGAATAACTTTTCACCACTCTCAATTATATTCAGTGAACTCGGGGTTTTGGGGTTTTGGGGTTTTGGGGTTTTGGGGTTTTGGGG